TTATTAATTTGTTTTATATTTATTAGTACGTGTCACAACTTAGTTATTATTCATATGTTCTTAATATAAAGTATAGAATTTTTTCGATCATCTGTCTCATTATATATAAAATATTTGTATATCCTATATTATATTATATTTAATTACAATTTTTTAATTAATATTTTAATTAAATATTTACAATTCATAAATTCATTAATAATATTGTCGAGTCAACTTTTGTTCATAAAATTTTTAAAAATATATTATTTTCATTGATTTGCTTATGTTGAATTGAGAAAAGTTATTTTTTTTTTTTTAATTGTAACTGTATTGATGTGTTAAACATGTACTACAGATGAAAAAGATAACAAATTATGAAAAATATAATTTATAAATTATAATGACATTATGTTATTTGGTTAATAGAAAAAGTATACCATTAAAATAAGCGCAAAAAATTAAAAAAAAATTAAAAGTTCTATAATTACTTTTACTAATTATAATATTTTTATTTATTACTTTTTTCCAATAGTTATTAGTAAGTGTTACAACTTTATTATAAATTTAATATTATTTATCAGATTTAATATTTTCTACTTTATATTGTTCTTTCATATATTTTTAATGTGCGTATGTGTTTGTGGGTAATTTTTCGGTTTGTTAAAAAATATATAAAATTAAGTATAGTACTTTTTAGGTCATATGTCTTATTTATATCAATTAATTTTATATTTTTATATTATTTTATATATAATTCTAATCTTCTCATTTATATTCAAATATATAATTTTTTTATTTTTTTTTAAAAACCATTTCATTGTAATAACGCATATAAATAAATAAATGACTGATGATAATATATGAATATAATTTTTTGATAAAAAAGTAATTAATTTTCAACATGTAGGCATATCATGATTCTCGAGATTTTTTAATTAGTTTGTAGATATTATATGGTCAAAATTAATCCATATTGCTAAAGTGGTATCTCATTAGACGTGAAAACAAATTGATCAGTTTTAATATTATACAATTTTATAAAATTGTTATGATCTTATGTAATAAAGAAATTGAATAGATTAGAAGTTTATGTTGCAGAACAATTATTCAACAATTAATCTCGCAGACTATCACACATTTTTTATAGGTTATTTTGAAAATAATGTTTCAATATCTTGTGGTTGTTATGAGAAAAACAATATCGATTTCTAGTTTTACAAGTGTTTTCAACAATTAATTTCGCATATTATCACACATTTTTTATAGGTTATTTTGAAAATAATGTTTCTATATCAAACAGTTTTAAAGATATGTGGAAGAAAATAATTTTAATTTAGGAGTATGGAATGAGTTGTTCATGTATTTGCATTTAATTAATTGATATTAGTTATTAATTAATAATATAAGATCTGATGGCATTAGTATATTACCAATTTGCCATTAAAAACATGTCAAAGTAAGGATTTTTTAGGTAGTTCATTTTTAATTAAAAATATAAACAAAATATGATGTGTATTAGTGTATTACTA